ATTTTATTGTTTTTGGTTCATTAAGCACTGCCTAGCACATTGTTTGTGTGACTATGTGATTCGCTGTGTATTGTTTGGTCAGGTGGCTAACTTGAATCATCCAGTCCCACATCCTGCATGTGATTACTGACAGAGTTGGATACCTGCCTAAGTGTCTGGTTGGAAGGCACCAAAACAGGACACAATATGAGACCTGTTTTAAAATTGTAGGTATTTGTCATTAAAGATTTGATTTTATCTTTACAAGATTGTACTTGTGACTGGGATTATGCCATTTACTAATACTTCAGTGCCAGGAGTTTTCTTTTGTGAAGGGTGAATTCATGATAATTTCCTGGAGGTTTGCATTAAAAGAAATCAGCATCACTGGGAAGAAAACACTTTTTACTCAGAGCACATAATGTTCATAACGTGACCACAGACATTTTCTAAAAGACTCTTTAATAGTAAGCCTTGACCTACTTGATAGTAGTTTTACATTTTTTAGTTACCTTTTGCAGTCATCAATGGAATTTACAAATCACTGGTTGAAAGCAGCTATGGTACTACTGGCTGTTAAAGGGGAGAAAATAACCTGTGTGGAGAGGGATTGTGGAATTATGGAACAACAGTTGTGAATTTGAAAGTCCAGACCTACTGCCTTGCCCAGATATAGGGACACCACTGATGAGGCAGTAAAATCTTGCTTGATGGTGGGCAGTGGCTTTGCTGTACATTCACAGGTGGGAATGTATGCTTTGCCTATAGGTTTATGTCACTCTTGAACTGACTTTTAGATCCTGTAGATCTCTCAGCTCCAGGCTAGATGGGAGGCCCTTACGTGCCCAAACATAGGGTGATATGTGTTGACAGCTCTTGAGAATGCTGTGGTTTCCTGCTGGACCCCTCTGTGATGGGCTGCCTTGAATTGTGGCAGCTGTCTTGCCTCTGCACAAGACTGTGGTTCCTGCTACCCAGTTCATTCTTGCAGGAGTTTGAAACACAATTCCTTGCCTAAAAACTGGTAGAACAGCACCATTCATTGTGGTGCAGTGCCACATCCTGAAACTGATGGGTCAAATGCTTAGAAATGGCACAATTAACTGGAAGAGTGGAGGTTTCTTCTAAATGGAGTGAGGTTTTCTTGGTAGAGATAGAGGTTTTAGGTTTTAATGTTTGTGGGTTTTTTGTTTTTGTTTTTGTTTTTTTTTTTTTGGTTTGGTTTGGGTTTTGTTTGTTTGGGTTTTTTGTTTTTTGGTTTTTTTTAATGAATAAATGACTCAAGAAGCAAGAGCCGGGAATCATCCTGTGCATGTATCCATGGAGGTAGCTTCAATAAGGGCAACGAGGGATAACTGCAAAAGAAAAATTAATGAAACTTGAATTTTGATTTATTAGTGTCAAACTATTTATTGCAACATGGAAAGGGGAAAATATTTAAAATCAGTCATTAGGTAAATACTAGTATGGGATCAGTGATTTTAAGAGACCTTTTTAGTGTGTGCCAGATGTGAATTGTGGTCTTGTGTTCACATTTTTCTCATGTAAAGACTTTTTTTTTCCATGTCACTAGAAGTATGGAAAAGGTGTAAATGGAAGATTATTGGCCTTTGCACAACAGAAGGCAATGGAATTTTCTAGAATGATTTTTTTCTATGAAGTTAAAAATTAATATTTGTGTTACTATTCTGTAGAATAGCATAAAATAAGTTATCTTATTTTGGTTGTAAAATGCCTGTTTTAAAGTTCCTAAGAGTCAGTCTACATGCTTACTTTAAGAAAAAATAAACAAGAATGAGAAAAAAGTGAATTAACTTGGCTTAGAGTCAAAGCCTTGTTAAGATAAGTGGCAGGATGGAGACAAAAAATTGGAGGGAGAAGAAAGTAAAGAATATAATTAAAAAGTTATTTTCTCTTCTTTCCAGTTACCTGCCTTCTTTTGTTATTCATATACACTTGTCGAAATTGCATGCAAATGATTGATTGACTCAGCAAACTCATTGTAATAAATTATGTTTGATGTGCTATCTTGAAAAAAATCTTTTGAAATTCTGTCTCTTTTCTTTGTCTACTGACCTTGTGGCTTTTAATATCTTGTTTCCCATCTGTCTGATTCCATCATAAGCTGAGCATAACTTTTCAGACCTTAATGCAGCTCTCTTTTTGTTCTGGTTTAAGTAAGTCTGTAACACAAATATGTGATTTGGCCATCAACAGTAATATTAGAAAGGAATGTTGAAATATGTGTTCCCTTTATTGATGTGAAATAAAGAAACACTTATCTGTAGATATTTGATAATACATATTTACAGTGCATAGGTCTGTCCCTGCAAGCAAATGAATACAGAGATGTCTGTATCGTTGTATTACATCTGCTTTAATGTTACAAGTTCAAAGGTTACTTTTAAGGATTAATTCTTAATTAAAGGAGAAAAGAAATGGGTCTATAGAGTTTCAGGAAAGCAATTTTAAATATAGATTTAAAAATACTTAGCTGAATATGTCATACAGATGTACCTAAACTGCAATTTGAGAGATTGATTGTTTTATAGATATTTCTGCTGCAAGAACTGTCTGTAGCAGTGAGGTCCTGAGTCTTGAATTACAGGGGAATTTGAAGAAGTAGACTTACATTGTTAAAAACCTTTTTTTTTTCTAAGGATATTATGTCAGTAGAAATGTTCGGTTGGGATGTCTTTTTTGTACTTATAGGTCAGCAGTTTGCTTAACAACTGTAAGGTATAGGTAGATAAATTCTTTGTGTTCTTTATAAAGGACATAAATTGTTTGTGCTGAAAGGTTTTTCTGGATAGTGCCTTTTTAGTGGGACTAAATCTTCGGAGAGACCAAAGAGAATGAAGTGAGCCAGGAAGAGAGAGAAGGAAAAAGCATGGTAGTCCTAGGAATGTCTGTAACAGTTTAATGGGACAGTAGAAACAGAATCGTGTTTTAAGTTTGCTGAACTTGTCAGAAAGTTATTATAAATGGGCCAAAAAGCCTTAGAGTTCACTCAACTAAGTGTATTCCCACGTGAAACACAAAACACTGAAATGTTTACTTTGATGTGGTCTACATAAATTTATTTGTTTGGTGATAGTACTATGACTACTACTAATAATTATTTTTGGCTGGCTAATTTGACTATGAACAAGATACCCAACTCAGAGAAGAAAGTAAAAGGGAGTCAAAAGACTTAATGATTTATTGAAAAAACAATAATAAGTAAACCAGTGTCGTACGCTACATAGGCATATGCATTCAAGCAAGTGATCAGTACATTGACTGCAATGGAATTATTCTTCATACTAAGTAGCAAGTTGAACTGAGACCTTGATATAGTCTAAGCAACTGTTAGTCCCAAAATTGCTGTCTTCATAATCACAGTGTGTTTCATTCTATATTGCTGAGGAAATCTGTATTGCAAACCAGAGGGAAAAGTTCTTTCTACGTACGCCCAGATTCATTTCCTTAACTGCAGAGATTTTCTTGGGGACCAAAGGAGAGACTAGATATTGTTCAACATTTTAGCTGAATAAAGTGACAATGGGCTATAACAAGCTGCAGTGAAATTCAGCTACAAAGTGTTTTTCAACACTACTCAGTAATAAGGAATTTTATTTGTAGTTAGTATGTCTATATATATATAACTTTTGTCAGCGGTGAAGCTCTTTTTTGCTCTATATATTCCTAGGTTTTCTGATGTACAGAATCACTGCATCTATGATTTACAGTTAAATGTTTGCTTTAAATGTGAGAGTGACACATTCAAATTGCCTTGTTAGAATATATGGAGAAAGAAGAAGAAAATGAAATGGCATTCTTTTTTTCTAGAAATTCTGATATAATTCACTTACTGGAATATGAATAGTGGACTCTGAATTAATTACTACATGATTTGTTTTAGATTAGACTGACTAGTAGGCACAAAATAGTGTAAATACTTTGATCATCATAGCAAATTTCTTCCATCTAGAGGAAAAATATGGAGAAAATAATATTTTTGGGAAAAAATGGTCACATGGCCTACTGTTTAGACAAGCACTTGCATTTACTGGTTAACAGTATAAAGCTACTAGTTAACAGAATAAAATAAGTATATTGTGTCTGGTGAATTAGTGATAATGATGCATGGTAACTAATGCTTTATTGTGTTACTTGGCTTCAGATATAGTTGTGCACTGTATTCTCTCAAAGAATTAAGAATAAAGAATCTGGCATTGATTATAACAGAACCACTGATTTTCGTGCATTACTGCATTACATAAATGTTCACTTCTTTTTCCTAAAATATAATCACGCTTACAAGATATATATTAAACCCCTCAAATTCTGATTACTGAATTAGCATGCCATATTTTCCCTAAAGTTAATATTTTTCTAGTTTTGCTGTCTGACTAATAACTTGATAAACCTCTCCTTATCTTCTAATGACAGATGACTTATTAAGGGCTACCACTTAATTATATTGCAGAACATGTGGGGAGCTGAAGAATTCAGAAGTATTTTCCATAGCTTGGACATGTAAAATGAGAAGCATAGGAGAAACCAAAAAGATAATCTTGTAACTGAGAAAAAGCCTTTGTGATTTAAGCATGAGATTGAGGTTCAGGAAATGGTGAGTTCTGTCCCACAAATCTGTCGTGCTTTGCACTAGACTATGGACAAGACACTGATTTTTATTTTGCTGCAGTTGACCATTCTGCCAAATATTTAGGGTGATACTGTCTTATCTCATAGGGTAGTTTAATACTATATGTGTCTAGCATTACTAGTGTTACAGGGAATGTACTAATTTTTGAGTTTATTGAGTTGTACTGAAACAAGCACTTCCATGATATAGTCGTAGCCTGAATTTTTCAATATTAAAAAGTGTACATAATATATAATATTTAAAGGATACTTTTGTGACATAAATATTTTAACTTATGTATCTAAAGCACATAGAAATAGACAGTAATCTCAGAGAAGTTTTCAATGAAGTTTCAGCTTTCCTGAATACTATACTTTTTCTCCATTTCCAGGTTGCATGTCTCACTCATGTAGCAGCTAATTACCTTAATTGCAAAATTGAACCGAAACGCTGGGGTACTGCTCATGGGAGTATTGTTCCATATCAGGTAAGCAGAAAGCATTAGGTTTTTTTTTCTCTTGAAATTCATTATTTTGTGTATTATGAGATTAAGAATTGACTTTTCCCATAACTTGCTGTAGTCTGTAATGTATCTGTGTCTAGGTACGACAAGGTTCTGTTGTTCATTGTCATTTCTGCATTTTCTATGTTTCTTCATCTGCAGTAGATTAGTAACAGAACACTGAAATAGATCAAAGGTGTTTGCTGAAACTGGATGACTTTAAAGCTAGTGTGATGGCTTGATTGGTTTTCACCTGACACAGAAACCTTTTTTTTAAGGTCTGCCTGACTTCCATGCCAGTTATAAACTGAAATCTTTTCCCTCTGAATTTTGTGAGACTACACGGTTTTATCTTGTGAGTCTTAAAGAGCAGTCTGAATGACCAAGATAATCTGTCACTTCTACATATTTGTCATTTTCTATTGATTTTGCTACAAATCACTACCTCAGTGAGACAACAGGTTGACAAAAGGAATTAACCAGACCTCAGATCTCTCCTCAGCAGAATTCATACTCTGCTACATCTAATGAAGGGTTGAAATTCCTTAAAATAACATGACCTTTATCATATAAACAAGCACAGGAAAAAAAAAACCTAACTTCAAATTTTATGCTACTTTTGGGCAGTACAGGAAACTCTTCCAATAAACAAAAACTTTGTTCTTTTCTAGCTGTTTGTTTTGTGTTCATGATGGAGATCATGCTAATTTTGAAAAATCTATTTTTTATTTAATATTTTTTTTGTCATGTTTGCAACTAGGTAGGCAGAGCCTGTATTTCTCAGTTTCTGGCCAGAGACCTTTAAGTCCCCAGAGGGGAAGTTTCCAGCATTTGTCTGGGAGAACTGCACTGCTGAGTTTCTTTACCATCTTCTTTCTTTTTAGAGAAAGTGAGGGAAATTCAATGTGTTGTCCTCCCGGTGGTGAAGGTGGTGGTGATCATAACTGAAATATTTCCTGCTTGTAGCCATATATACTCTGAAGCAAAAATTTTCTGTCATTGTGCAGAACACTATCACTAGTTAGTGTCACAGCCAGCCCTCCTCAGGTTTAACACCAAAATGAGTTATTTTTGTAAGAACTACTTGATCTAGGAGACTGTTTCTAGTGCTTACCACTGCATAATCAACTGTCTTGTTAAGAATTATCTGCAACAGATTGCAAATGTTCTCAGAGCAATGGGGAGATGGTGTGGCTCTTCCTGAAAGAATGAGTTTGGTCCTGCAGTATTCTTGTCTCAAGTGTAGTGGAGCACAGAAGTGACTGTGCTCCCCTCTGGGTGTTATGGTGTGGCAGCATGGCTGTGTTTTCTAGAGCCAGCTCTGCATGACCCAATGTAACCAAGAAACAAGCAGTTGCATTCTGCTGTGTTTCTGCGATGCGACCTTTTGGTGCAAACCTTTTTGAACTTTGGTATGTTGAAAGTATAAAACAGATCTGAAGTGTCCAAAGTTTGCATAAGCAAACCCAAAAACCTGACTAAACAAAACATTTTGTCTTCACCATACTGCATTTGGCTGAATAACTGAAACTTGCATTCTTTTATGTCCTTTTGGCCTTTGTTTCTCCACAGTCATTACATTCATTGAGTATCCTTTCTTTTTTTCATAGAAAGTTCTCGAGGTATAAAAAATTTGAGGAGATTGATTTAGATGTCTATTGATTTAATCTAGATTAGTCATTATGTAAATAACGATTTTTTTTAAAAAAATACCCTGTCTAAACTATGGTTCCTGTTTTTCTGTATGCTGTTTCTGTAGTAGGTCTTAGAAATATTACCTCAATATTATAAACCATTTTAATCTGAATTTTTTTGTTCATAAACCAGTAATTAGGGTGGATTTACTATGGGTGGAGTTGTGTGTGTGTGTGTGTGTGTGTGTTTATGGCTTGTCTGTTAACATTCCATCAATTAGCATGGTTGTAATTCTAACTGTAACCATAAGAATATTATGGTTTCTAGTGGTGGTTTTTTCCCTTTACTAACATAAGCTATACTTAGATTCCAAAGCTCTTCATAAACTTGAGTTAATCTTCACTGTTGCTATTGTACTACTTTTATAGTTTCTGCTGTAGCTCATTTGTAATAAAGTTTAGAACAAAACTCTGAAACCTGACTTTCATTCCTCATCCTAGTTATCGAATATAGTCTTTTGCTTACTAAACACTGTGACTATCACAATGCTAATTTTTACAATTTTTTTGTTTCAAGATATTTTATGCAAGTGAATTACAATTTATTCAAATAATGAAAAACATTTTAGAACATTTTTTGTATATTTCTATATATTTCAGAACAAGTAGGTTGTAGCAAACTGCTACGGAGTTGTTGCCTTTTTTTTTTTCTTTTCCTAATGTCCTTAACTTTATTTTGTTTTCCTTTACTGTATTTTGAGTTTTTATACAAGTAATAAATTATGAAGTGATACAGAGCCTGCAATCCTTCTAAAAAGTGTCCAATTTTGTTAAATCGTGACATATCAGGTAAACATGAGGTCCTCTTATAGATATTAAAAAGGAAAAATCAAAATAACTGCACATCATTTTTCAGTGTGACAGATGTCTTATCAGAGTCACACTAGAGTTCTGACCAAAATAATAAAAAAATATTAAAAGCACCCTAAATATGTACATAAATAGTACTTTTTTTTTTACAATTGTTACAGTAATTATTCTAGTGCTCTACTGAACACATTTAGTAGTGTGTATTGAATGTAGCTTTTATTTCATTAAGCTTAACTTAAATAATTTTGTTCCAAATATCTTTGCAAATGTCTCTATTTTTCTGCTTAGAAGGTCAAATTTACCTTTGACTATATCTTTTATTTCACTGGATTTACCTATTGCTTCTTGACTGAAAAACTAGCAGCATAATTTGTTCCTGAATGTGTTCTCTAGATTGACTTTTAGTACTTTTCCTTGTATTTAAAAACATAAAAATTGAGCATCAATGGGCAGATGGATTTTCTTCTTCCTGTAACTAGTAAGATGCATAACAAAATCTGTTTCTGCTCTGGTCTGAGTTAAGTTTGGTGTGCAAGGACTTTCATACTCTTTTAAGGTTTTTCTCATTTGCTGATAATGTGCTGTCTTTGTGGCACGATCAGCTGAAATGCCTGAGTTTTCAGTTTTGCGTGTTCATCACCAGAACCCAAAGGAAAGGATTTGAACTGCTTTTGGGTGTACAATGTCTTCCAGGGTTCCAGTAAAGCTGTCTGCAAAAGTTTGCCATAGATTTTCTATGGAGGTGAACTTTGCAATGTGCCACAAAGATGAAGTACTCTAGATTCTTATCAATCAAAATCAGAAATAGTTTACTGAGTCCTGAAACCTTCATGAGAAATGATCTACTTGGAGATTATCTGCTGTTTAATCAGAGCAATGTAGTTTGAATAGGTCACTCTTATGATAGTGCGTGTGATCAGATCCCAGTTTGCTTGGTTTCAAGTGTTTAAACACAAACCTTGAGTTCTGGGGTGTATCTTAGATGTAATTAGTAAAATTTTTCAAAACCATTTTCTGCAGTGAGACACCTTGTTTAGCAACAGCTGCTCCATGATTATCTAGAGTTAAAAAAACATCCGGTTTATGTAATTGTGCTGAAAAGTAAAATTGTCTTACTGTCTTTCATTTGGGGTGATAAAGTCTTCCTTCATTCTAGTGGTTTCAGCAATGTAGCTTTCTTGTCTGTACCAAGCATCAGATCTAGACAATCCCATTTTCTGCTTTCAATTGGCTAACTTGGAACAGATATTCATTCTCTCCAGAAAGTTTGTCTAACCTGAATGTTTACAGGATGTTTCCAGTGGCAGCTTATCACCCTGCCATCAGACACCTGAGCAACTGGGTAGCACTTTCAGAGAAAGGTATAGGGCTGTTTTCTCTTGGACCATAATGATGGAAGTCTATTTAAAAGCTGAGAAACCAAGCTCATACAGATATCTAATGAAAATGATATTATTTGTGTTCCAGATTTGGTCCTAAGACTCACAAGGTTTTCTCAAGTATACTTTAGTATATTTTCATAATGTGCAAACAGCACAACGACTCTGAATGGAAGTTGAAAACATGAGACATTAAAGAAACTATTATTTTAACCACTTACCTTTTCTGTTGACTGACCTATGCGTTGTCATAATTCATCAGACCCAACACTAATGTTTTTTGTATTAGAGCATCACTTAGATTCTTTAAGCATCAACTTTCTTTTGTGCTAGGCATAAATTTTCTTTCATATGAGGAAACTGTCTTGGTTTCAAAGGCATTGAAATGTGTTATGAAAAACCAAAGCATAAGCTCACAAGGAAGTGAAAGGTATGAGGTATTAGGAAGATTAAGATAGTCAAAGATACAAATATCTCTGCATTATTTTTATCATGTGCATCTCGTACTTTTTGGTCATGGAATTTTATACTGTCCAGGAGTCTTACAAAGAAAATCCCACTTGTGTCACTTGTGCCTCATCACAGGAACAGAGAAATGCAATAAGTTATTAGTTACCTGATTCATCTGGCAGAGATTCTTTTCACACAAAGGCACAGTGTGCACCAAGTTTTCTAACTCAGCTCTGGAGAATCTCTCAGAACTTTTAATCTCCTTTTTTTTTTCTTCCAGTGGAGAGGACAGCAGAATAATGTCAATCATTTAGAAATTTCAAACTGCTTATTCCATGCAAGAAGGGTGATGTGTAGTCATTTTCTTGTCTGTCCTTCTGTGATTTTATTGGACACTTCAGCAGTTAATGAGTCTTGGAATCAAAAGCAACAAAGAATAGAATTTGGATTATTCGCAAAGTTTTATTTTGTGGATGAAACTCTCCTTAAATAAATCCAAAATAGAAGAAAATCTTTCTGCTCTGTACTAGCCCAGTGTAGGAGAAGATGGAACCTATGTGCAGGAAAGAAATAAAATACAGATTTTTTTTTGGGGGGGGGGCAAGTTTTAAATTAAGGCAATGCAAGATGACCCTTCTTACTCTGTAAATAT